GTTTCAGGGTCGGCACCTCCGGCCTGTAGGGATCGTTGTCCATGTATAAGCTCAATGCTAACGTCCAGTTAAAACTACTCTGATTACTACAGTTACTACTCATACATTGTTAACAAGTTAGCCACACCACAATCTAAACCTCGGCTAACTTTTCAAAAGCTTAGCCATAACATGTAGGCCACCATCAGCCAAACAATGGTTAAGTCTTAATTAGCTTAAAAATATCAAAGTTAGCCGTTACCGTTAAAGGTCGTTGAGATAAAGATTGCTCCTGAAGGTTAGCGCGTTGACTGATTGATTACCTTTGTCTTTGCTCAGATGAGTCCAGCGGAGGTTGGAGACGATCTCAGATGTCCATTATTGATCGGCTTAGAACTTTGGACTGAGTGGGAGACGGAGGACGGACCAAATACTGACTGATGCTAACGCTCCGTCCCACGGTGGTTGTTGTCAATAATTGCCAAAGACTGTTGCCAAAGCTGCTGCTCCAGGAAACGAGCGGGATAATCCATACTTTATACCTGGGACGATCGATGATTGATCAGTGATGAGTGATAATTGGTGATTGATCAGTGAAGTGGCGTCCATCTCTTTTATTATCCTTTTTCTTGTCATTTCCTTTCCTTTGAATGAACTTCCTGTTCTGCTGATCCTCCTCCGAGATCCGACTGTGCTCAACTACTGACTCGAGTGATCGGCAGCGATAGACAGCCATATTGATCTGTCGGAAGTCTTATTGATTGGCTGTCTGTGTGGCCAACCCTTCGTTTGTGTTGTAGAGAAAATATATTTATTTGTTTATTGTTACCAAAAATGCCCCTCCCAGTGATGACATCACCATTATGTGTTCACTGTCTCTTTACATCTTTTTTTACAAAAATAAAAACTTTTGTTTTCCTTTAAAGCGTCAGTATTTGTGTAGGTTATGGAGAAAGTGGTGATGTCATAGGTCACATGATGCTGAGTCGGAGCTAAAGGTCAAATATTAAGTGGCCTGAAGGAAAATTAACTTCAGTCGAAAAAATGAGCCAAAAAGATTGTAAATGTTAGCACAGAAGATAGTAAAGGTTACCCAACAGGTCGTACGACAGGAACAGTTCACACAGGAAGTCCTTTAAACTTAGCTAAAATTATTTAAGGGTTTATCAACATTCAGCGTCAGTCAGTGTTGGATCTGTCCGTAATCCTGCTCAGACTTTGGCCTAATCCGAGGCCGTCAGGACCCAACAGCCGCGGAACGCTGTTAACGATCGCACGGTGGCATTTTAACGCTAAATGCCTGCACTTCTTCTTACGACGTGTTGGCAGCTGCTTCACTGCCAAACAGCCACCAGATAAACCTGTAAATACGGTTCATTAACACTGACCAAAGTTCACGAATCCTCCCCAACTGGTCAGCCCCGGTACTGACAGCAATGCTGACCTGGTCCTGTTCCAAAACAAAACTGGTAGCAAGCGATGATTGGCCTACACTCTTGGTTGGGCTAACTGTGGACACTTGTCCGTTGTTGCTAGTACCTAAGATTGCTTTTGTTAGAAATCTGTCCTCTAAGCTAGCTGTAGCCGGTCGTCTGCTTTCACTGTTAGCTTCGGTAGCCACCTTTGTAGGGCTGTTGTCCAGGATTAGTGTTTGTGGTGACCTGTAGTCACTGACAGTTGAGCTAGCTGTGGCTGCTCGTGTATTTTCATCCAGGTTAGACTTGTGGGATGATTCAGCATCGTTGCAGGAATAGCTAACTTTGACTGCCTGTCTGTTATCGGCGTCAGCTAAGTTAGCTTTCTGTCTCGGTCTCTGGTCATTCCTACCTGTGGCTGGTGATCTGTTGTCCCGTTCAGCAGAACCAGCTCTCTGTAGACTTCTGTTTATGCTGTTGGCTACGCTAACTTCAGCAATATTATCAGCTAAATTAATCCTGGCTTGTTTGCGGTCACTGTCAACATTGATTGCTTTCCTGTTATCGTGGCTGGCTAAGCTAGCTTTTTGTGATGGGCTGTCACCGTTGTCGTCTCCACTTGTGTGTTGTAGAGGTCTGTCAACGGTTGTTTCTGGTAAGCTATCACCACTGTTAGCTAAGCTTGTTTTTAGTGGGTTACTGTCATCACTGTTAGCTGCATCTGGTTGTTTGTCGCTATTGCTGACCAGGCTGGTTATATGTAACGATTGGTCAGAATAGTCAACAAAACTACCTACACTAGTTCTGGCTAATAATCTGTCGTCACTGTCGGCAGGACTAGCACTCTCTGAGGTTTCATCTCTGTCGACTGGCGAGCTTGCGATCCCTCGTAGTCTGTCATCATGATAGTCTTCATCCGATAAGCTAGCTGTGCTCAGTGGGTTGTCACCACTGCTAGGTAAGCTAACTGTGTTTGCTGGTGTTTGGGTGCCTGAGGAAACAGAGTCACTGGGAAAGTCTTTGATTGCGATAAACGGATGTTGCAGCGCTGCACGCGGCTGGATTCTCGTCTCAGGGTCCACTCGCAGCATCTCTTTCAGGAGACTCAAGAAGACCCGCGTGTCCTCGTTAGCACTGGTCCCTGGACGAGTCAACGCAATGTCTTCCAGGCAGGTGATTTCTGACATCATGTCCGGCAACAGCGGGTGAACGGCGCATCGCTCACTGCGGAAACCAGAACCGGCTGAGCTGTTCTGTACCGAACACGTGCACTCCGCCTTCAGCTTCCACGACGAGTCGTCGTCGTCTTTGTCAAAGTACTTCTTAGTATAAATCCCAGTTTCCAGTAGGTGATTTTCAGGTCGGCCCAGCAATTGCATGATGTCATTCATGTTGGCCAACTCGCAGTCACCAGAGTAAAGTTCCGCCTCCATGTACACGGAACCAATGACGGTGCCGAGGGCCCACATGTCCATGGCCTCGCTCAGAGGGAGGCCCAGGATCACCTCAGGAGCACGGTACGGTAGAGCCTGCAGGACTTCGCCCAGAACTAGCTTGGATACGTCCTGTGCCAAACCAAAGTCTATGAGTTTGGCCTGCAGGGGCCGCTGCCCACCCTCCGTCAGCATGATGTTATCCACCTTGATGTCGGTGTGGACCATCCTGATGCTCCGCAGGGCCTCCAGCGCCATCAGCATCTGCACCGTGATTGCCTGGATCTCGGACAGGAACAGTGGTCGGTTGTACGTCATGACTAGGTCGTACAAAGTCATGTCCAGTTTCTCAAACTCCAGGAAGACGTTTCCGAGGAGCTCCGTGTACCCGTGAAACCTGATCAGGCCGTTCTTATCTGGGTCCAGGTCTTGGAGTAGTTCCAAGTTGTGCACCTCGTCTTTAACAAACTCCGCATCTTTCTTCGGAATAGCTTTCACCGCCACTGCCTCTAACGTGTCGGACCTCGTACAAAGGTAGACGCGTCCAAAGTTGCCAGAACCAAGGAGGTCCTCCACTCGGTACCCACTGGACTCTATCAGAGGAACAAAGTCGTCCGTGGCTGACGCCTCCTCGTCCATCCTGGACCACCCCGGTTCTTGTTGTTGGTTCCCAAACGTTCTCAGATGTTACGTGGAGGCTACAGTCGGAAACTTCTAGGACGGAGCTTCACCAAGGTTCTCCTTCAGTGGTGCTTCAAAGGAAATGACATCAGTCATGTTTCATCTCTGCCACGTAGTGAACAAGTCAGTCAGTGACTTAGTTAGTTACTGATTATAGTTAATCAGTCAGTCAGTGACTTAGTTCAACAGAAACTCTTCAAAGGCTTAAACTACACTTTGATGTTGTGCTTTCATGTCATCACGACTTTGCTGTCTCTGTTCTCTCCTCCACTTTTATCTTTTTGTTTTGGAGGAGGAGGTTGAGGTGATGTAGGTCAGTGATTCCCAACCCCTGGGCCGTGGCCCACTGGTGTGCCATGAGACACGGAACATTAGCCAGTTTCACTTCAATGGCCTGAAAAAATATTATTTATATCTTGCAAATATTTTTTTTTGTTCGTCAATGCATGGCACGCAGAACATTTAAATACTTGTCCGCTAGGTGGCAGCAGATAAAAAAAGGGAATCAGTTTTCTTCAATTCCTGCCAGTTTATCAGTGTCGTCTTCAACTAAACAGGCTGAGATCTGAGTCAGTTCTGTTGAAGATGTTTGTTTGGTGGCGGCCGTGGAGTTCCTGATGAAAATGCTGTGTCACGAAACAAAAACAGCTGGAGGAGGAGGAGGAGGAGGAGGAAGAGGAGGAGCAGGAGGAGGAGGAGGAGGAGGAAGAGGAGGAGGAAGAGGAGGAGGAGGAGGAGGAGGAGGAAGAGGAGGAGCAGGAGGAGGAGGAGGAGGAGGAGGCTCCTGTCATTCTGTCAACACCCACTCATCACCACAGTGACAGACCACGCCCCCTCTGTGTCTGTGTGTGTGTGTGTGTGTGTGTGTGCAGTGGCCTTGTCAGACTATTGAAGACAAAGACGTTGAGACTAGTTTAGACCAGTTTATTGTGTAAAACCAGTGGTAGCTAACGTTAAGGACACACTAACGCTGAGCTCATCGTCACTGATTGATCACAGACCAAATCTCACAGAGAACACGAGTGATTGACAGGTCTGTTCACTCGCTGCTACAGTAGTCCTTCAGAGTAAAGTGAAGAATAAAACACGTCGTCAGAGTAAAAAACCAACCACAGGGTTTGGACTGAATGACCTTTGACCTTTAACATTAAAGGAACTTTAAGAACAGCTCTTTGGACCCACAATGGTGGGCCCTGTTGGGCCAACATGGCCGCCGTGTGTTTAACCGTTGCTTAGCA